TACTCTCCCACCGACGCAGCACCACAGTTTCTTTAGAAACTTACCCCTTGATCCTCGTAGAAATCTTGTTCCGTATCCATTTAAGAAAATAATTAACATTTAATTTTTAAATATTTGGGAACAGAAAATTGTTCAGAAAAAAAAAAATGAATGTTATTAACACCAAAATATCACGTCCGAAATTATTAGAGACGGTATTTGCCTTTGGCAGGGTTTTATTAGTCATTTGTCAAACTGTGGTCCTTTCATAATGTCAATGTAGACACCTCTTTAACATCATGCAAGTTCTACAGAACAATTGACTCGTGACACTCAATGACCATAAAACTCCAATTACGATTTCAACGGCGAATCGTGCTAACTGAACATAAGTCTTCTTCAATTGCCATTTATGGCTAACGAGGCGTGAGGACACGGAAAACTTCAATTTCTTTATGTTTATCCATCTGGCCCCGGTTGTTCGAAGATCGGATAACGCTATCCAGTGGATAAATCTCTATCCGGTGGATAACGCTACACGTTTTGCTATCACTTATCCGCAGGATAGCGATTTATCCGTTGGATAGCCTTATCCACCCTTTATACAACTGGGCCCTGAACCTATATTTAACAGTATTTTTTAGCGATTCATTGTGGAGTGTTGAGTTCCGGCGTCTGTCAGTTTCGACTTTCTCCATTAAAGTGCTTCATTTGAACGCGTGTTCGCGTGTCAACAAATGCTGTGCCACCGTGAGTGTTTGTAATTATTGATTACCTCATCATTAATTTTACAAAGCTTCTTTTGCCATTCAAAAATTCTCTCTTAGAGAATAGCTTTCTGAATGCTCAATTGCCTGCAAGTGGGGGTGATAAGCAAAGGGACACAGGAAAAGACCTCTTAGGTGTAAACAAATAGTCCTTTTTAGAAGAATATAACTTTTCGTCAAAACAGCTGAAAATAAATTTCTAATCGGCCAGCTTCTAGCAAGCAAAAGTTGACGCGTTGACAAATTATCTGAATCTGCAACTCGGCGATTGGTTCGAAATTGAGGAGAGTCTGAAAAATATTCATTCATGAAGCTGAATAAAAAATTAAAAAAAAGAAAAGTGATATCCTGGTCTGATGTAACGAGGATATCTCTCGGATAGTCCATTTCAGTCCAAAGTTCTTGTCTAATTTGCATTGCTGATTTCTGCACGGGATGAAAATTGGAGGCTAGAATCGGGAATCGAGTATGGGTTAGCATGCAAGGGCTTTCACTCGTGAATCATCTGTTTTTTTTTTCCCGTACAGCTTTCGAAACGGACAAACGGACACAGAAATTTCGCTGCAATATAACATAAATTAACTTGCGAAAACTCAGCGAAGACGACCCACGAACAAATTAAGGGATGGGTACATGAGAGCGGCTTTAACTGGCTGCTGACAGGTCCACGTGGTACATAGGCCTCTCGTGTTGGCGTATAAGTTCACTCGAACCATAGTGATAGTCTTATTTTTCAGTTTTAGAGTATTTTTCACTAATATTGATGGACACCCATTGTTAACACAAATTGAAACACACACTACGTAATATGTTAAACAGACATTCATAGACATAAATTTCTACCGTTTTACTGGTAGTGTGTCGAAAGGAAGTGAGAAAAAGTTTCAACTTGAAAAGGCGAAGCCAAGCGATCAAAAATTTTTCTTTTGCCGCTCAGATACGACAGGTGGGCGTAGTTTTCATTAGTTTTGCAAAATAAAAGAAACGTGGTCTCACATTGCAGAAGTTTTGAAATATTGACTTAGCGTTGACTTCCTTCATATGGACACTATTTTAAAAACCGACAGGAATCATTTTTTCCAAATGAAATGCATAACTTTCACTGTGAGGAGACTACAAGAGTCACATGTAATCAATAGTGTTGATTTGACTTCTGTATCGAATCCCGTTTTGATGTTATAACACAATGATTAAAGCATGGCTCCTTTGCCATGAAATAATAATAATAAAAAAAACAAATCCTTTGTGCAAAGGATCTTCAGATGGCTAAAATAGACATCCGGAACGTTCTTGAGCAACTTTGGTAAGGCGAGCTTTTCTCGCAAGAGAATCTCCCACTTGTGAAAGGAAAAAAAAATGTAGAACTGTTATTGAACTGTCATTTCTTCAAGTGCTCTCCAGGTTCCCAAAAAAGTTAATTATGCTCAAGACAATTTTAGTCCCCTGCTCTACCGAGTAATTACCTCTTCGTGCCTTAAATTAGTAACGTAACGGTCGGGTATCCGAACATATTGTCAATTTTCTGCTCATGATCTGTTTGCAAGCAGATAAGCCCACCAACGTCACAACATCATCGGTTTAATTAATCAGGCAGAAACACGGTATTGCATGGAACTGTTTTCAATTTTTAAAAGTAAACAGTGAACCCAGCTGAACGTTAAAATTGAAAAACTCGGAGACGATCAAGAATTGTCGAAAAAGAGTTTGCCCCTCAGACTCTGATAAGATGCAAATTTAATCAGCACTTGTAATGGTTACTGACGGAAAATAACATTTTTAATGAAGTTCAGACATCGCAATAGGCACACGAATGACACCTACAATGTGGCATCTGTTATTTGTTCTCTGTTTGACAGCAAAGCTTTGTTTGTTTGTTTTTTATTTATATATCAAGAGAAATATCGTGGATTCGTTATCCATCCGTTTTTTTTTTCCTATTTCTTTCCGCTTTACCAAAAAAAGAGAGCTGAACTTCAGTTGCCGGGTATTGAATCAATAGTTAAAATTGCAAACTGAAAAAAAAAATGCACCTTGTAAATACGCAGCAGGAATCAAAACAACGAAGCAGTGAGCATAAATGTGACTTTGAATTCAAGAAATGCATTTACTTCTAGAAACTTAAGTTACTCGTTGTCTTTACTGTACAATTTTCAATTCCTTGCATATAGATTATCTGAACTAAACTTTGCGTCAAAAATAAAAGAATAGACTTAAAGACAGTAAAAGGGTATAACGCCTTCTTTCAAGGCAAACTAAAGATTAAATCTTACTCCAACGCCTATACCAATAAAGTCAATTGCTTTAACATAATAAATTCTTCACAATTCTCTTTACAATTTGACGAATTTCGCGAATTCGCCAGCAGTAAATGATCGGATTTATAGAAGAATTCAACAGAATCAAGATGAATGAGACATAATACGCTATTATAGACGACGCTCGAGAATTATCCGCTATTAATATCAAAGTACAGCATAAATAGGGCAGATAACATCCCAGGAAAACAACATAAACAACGAGTGCGTTGATTGCAGACTTTTTCTCTCGAGCTTTGGATATTTCTTGATCATCATGCCTCTGTAACTGAGTTTGTATTTGATTCCGATGATATATCACAGCCTTATAGATTTTAAAATAAGCCACAGATGTAAGGAAGAGGCCAAGAATCAAAAGTACGTCAGCTACCATGTCACTGTATTCTGGAAGAGAGACGTAAATACCCGCAGCAATTCCACTTGCTATCCACACAGACACCAAAGCCAGAGAGAGACGTTTGGAAGTCACAAGTTCATGATAGCGAAGGTGGAGATAAATTGCGAGGAGTCGATCGATAGCAATTACCGTAACGTTCAAGAACGAAGCGCAGGCCAGTGAAAAGGTACAAAAATGACTTATGGTGAGTGTGACTGGGCAGAAGACGGAGAAGTTATATTCTCCATTGGCTGCCATTCGTAACATCTCCGCTATGATGCCACCGAACAAGGGCTGTGCGAATATTCCCACGGCAAGATCCGAAAAAGACAGACTCATGAATACCTTCCTTACTGCAGGCGACATCGACGAACTTTTCCACATGGCACCAATCACGAGAAAGCCTCCAATGGTCGCCACGAGAGAAGAAAACAAAATTGAAATAAAGAGAAATAATAAAAACTCCCTGTTAGAATGTAGCATTATGTGTAACTCCTGTAACTGCAGATCGCAAAACTTTTCCACCATGAGATAATCGTTTCGGTTGCTCTGTCCTTTGGCCAACTGTATCTCCTACAGGATAATAAACAGAGAGTGTTGAGCACATCTCCTAAAACTTACTTCCAAATTCTAATATTTGCGCGACTAAATATTTATTGTGCTCTGTAAATAGGTAGAGTTCATGCTGCTTTAAACACGGCCTATGAATGTTCTGTGCCCATTGAATAATTGCCTAACCACACGAGTACTGCATAAATACATTCTTTGGACGATAACCGCGAGGAAATAGAATGGTCAAATTAAGGTTCTTCGATATCTCTCTAAAGAAAGGCGAAAATGTCGTTCTTTTGTACAATCACTAAAATGGAAATCGTTTGGTGAGATAACAGAATTACATCTCGAGGCAAACTTTTTTAAGCCATCTATGCAAATTTGAATTTTTACATAAGGCAAAAGTAAATAGCAAAATAAATATTGCCATATTGCAACTTTTTATGAAATAAAAGCCGCATGATACTTCATTGAAACACGCTAAACACGTATCATTTGTCGATTTTTATTTCACGCGAAATTGTGCACCGATCACACAGTCATTCTACCAGGTCTTATAATCGATCAATAGCGGGTCAGGGCGATGGAATCATTAGTTCCTCTCGAACAGAAGCAAATAATTAACTCTCAACCAATAGGTATCTGTTCAAGTGAGTTTCTCCTTCAAACAAGTACAGGAGAAATGAACTATTGAGAGCAATCGATGCTCCAAATATTAAAACTTAAAAAAAAAACAAAAAGCATCTAATGGATTAGTAGGACTCGAACGGCCCAGCATGATTCACTATTGAGGACCCTATGGGGAATCCCACTTTTTTTTTAATCGCTTTAGGGGGCTTTATTTTATATTTTCGGTAATTGAAAGGAAATTTCAATTTAATTATGCGTGACGCTTTTTTGATGAAGTTGTCATCGTTAAGAAATTTTAATCTGATATCTCCTTTCAAAAAGTTCCGATCAAAATATCAACATTTCAATATGGTTGCCAGGATACGAATCTTTTGCTGCAAAGCTGTAAATGACAAGCTGGTAGGAGATAACCGGATGAGAATTTCGCAAATGTACACCGTTGAAGGATTTAGATGCAAATTCAAGGCAGAAGTAAATCAATTCATCTTTTTCAAAAGCTCGTAACACTATTTATATCAAGAGGGAGCAAATTCCTTTGAACTGATGAATGTGAAACCCAACCATTATGATTAATAGTCTACCGAAGTTTCTATTCAACTTGTGAATTGTGACTTCTCAGAGACAAAATTCAAATTTGGCTTCTCGTGTCGAAGATGAAGCGTAGGTTTTAATCACTTTTTTAAATAGGATCCTATCATGCACCGGCAGTAAACAATTGAGAACTTATTAAGTGTTGAACAAATTAGGGAAACTTTCTGGCTTTCAATAGTCCTGTGCGGCCGTGGTTTTCACTCGCTGCCTTCCAAATATGGGATGGGAGGTAAATGAAAGAAAGATCTCGGTTACAGGCATTGTGTCTCATTAGGAAATCACGGGGTCTAAAAAATCTTATACGAGCCCTATTTAAGATAGCCGTCTTCATCGTTTTCCAAGATAATAAATGACGTCAGAGTGGTATCCTGTACGTATGACATTACTGAATTACAATCGGGAAATGATATCAATCCATCGATATAAATGTGAAAAGTTAAACACGTTCATTTATCACGTAAATATTTTTGAAATGCCACCGTTTGTCCTTAGCTTTGTCCACGATACTGTCGCTGGGTTCAATTATTTTATGTCAGAGAAAAGGTAGATATCGGTAAAACGTACTTTACCTTCAAGTTAGAAACTGAAAAAGTATTTTCTCAAGCTTTGCATTCACCGTTCTTGTATGGTCTTTTCAAACTGTTTTTGATGTCAATGTTTTACGATACCAACAAAGCTTTACTATTACGCTAACGGATACGAATTTCTACTTTCATCTTCATATATAACATCTCTCGTGGGTGGGCGCAGGATACGAGTGAGAAATATTTCAGTCAGCGTTACTCTCAAAGATAAAAACCACATCCAAGCACATTCATGTAAGATCACTCCTGCATATCATCTGTGATGAATGAAAAATGTCAAAATTGACAATTTTATATAGATAAGAGACGATTTTCAACTACAGAAAGTTAAGACTAACACTTTTAGGAAGATCCAAAACGACGACATTTCGACGTCGAAAAGGAACCAATATTAGTGTATTCTTTTTGACAAAAAAAGTCTTGATATTTTACTATCTAGCGTGGACAATATTCCTCATGAAGAGCGTCTTGCAAACAAGACGTTTCCCGAGGAACTTTCGAAGGCACGCCTATGTGGTGTTTTGTGGTTGCCGAATTCTAATTCTATACAAAAACTGAATGCTTGTGTAGAGTAGGGGAGGGGGAGATTCGTTTCGCGATTTGGAAATTTCGTCGCTGTAAGAGATTTGTACCTTCATAAATTTGTTCGTGAAATTATGTAAGGTGATGACGAGCATGACGAGCATCAAGTGAAAGACAGCAGCGTCTCTTCCTCAAGGCTAAACATCATCTAGTACTGTCAGACGGCGGACTAATTACTTCAATCAGTTATTGTTACTACTGTTGAACATTTGAAATTTTTTTCTTCAACAAGAAAGCAGAAAAAGTTTATATCTGAAGAAGATCAAGTGGCTCCTGCTGTTTAAAAAAAACCATCGATACATTAATTTTCATGTGATTGGGACTCGACAACTTCACCCCGGAAAAAAGAATTCGGTGACTGACAAACACGTTAGGACGTTGCAGTGGGGACATAAATCTCTTTAACTTTGTTAAAAAAAAAAGTTTAGTTTGACATTCGAAAGAGTCTAATTGATCAACGAAAACGTATTCTTCTTTTATATATATATATATACCATTTAATGTTTTGTTGACATGTTGTTTTATCGCAGTATTTTTACAGACAAATTATGAAAAGTGGTGCGACATTAGCTTTATATCTGAGTATGTTGTATTTGTAATACCAAAGTTGTGAAGTAACGATAAAAGGAATAATACAAAGAATCGTTTTAAAAAAGGTACAAACGTGCTTGTCAAAGCTAATTCAACAACATTTTATGATGGATTTTGTGTCCTCATAGGATTCATATCAGCTGCTCTGGAAATACAATATCACCATAGTAACGCTCAACGTCATAAGGACTTATTTGTAATATTTTTCTTAAGAGTCGTTTAGTCCACTAATCAAAACTGACTATTAACATACTCCCTAGTGCGAAATATGTGAAGGAGAATTAAACGATACTAATGCTTAATCTTTTCTTCAAATGTGCTACTTCTTGAATGAGCGATATTTTACAAAACAAGCCGAGGGCACCGAAAGGGAATTTTGACCCTCCTTTGTGATTATTAAAATATGCTATACGTTTCAATTCTGGCATGGATAGAAATTATTCAGAGTCACGCGAGATTAAGAGTTTCCTTATCGTGTTTATCGCGTAAACGCGAATTTGTCTATATCGCCAGCAGTAAACCAGCGGGTTTAACGCAGAATTTAGAATAACCAAGAACAAAGTTGCATGATTGGCTACTAAATAGGATATTGAAGTACTGTCAGTTAATAACAAAATCGTGCCGCATAAATGTGGGGTGTAACAAGCCAGGAAAATAACATAGAAAAACAAAGAATTGATAGCTGCCCTCTGCTCACGGATAAATACTTTCAAGCGATGACCACCCTCTCTCATTTGGCTATTTATTCTGTTCTGATGATATCTTACGGCCTTGTAGATTCGGATGTATGCTATGGTTGTCACAGGAAATCCAACGGCTTCGACAATCACAACCACCAAATGATTGTTGTTTGGAAGAGACACGAATAGTGCAGCGGTGACAACGCTTGTTACCCATAAAGATATCAACGCTAACACAATTCGGTTAGTAGTGACGAGTTCCTGATATCGGAGATGAAGAGAAACTGCTAGATATCTATCCACAGCGATGGCTAGAATGGTCAAGAACGAGGCGGACGCCAACAGAAATAAGAAGAAATAGAGCAAAATAAAGCTGGTTGAACACAAGTCAAAGGGCTGGTCTCCATTTGCGTTTTTGTGCAACATCACTGCAACAATAACTCCAAACATCAGCTGAGGGCACATTCCAACAGCGAAATCAGCCACAGCAAGACTCAGGAACAATATCTTCAGATTCGAAGGTACTGACGATGCCTTTCTCAGAGCGCTGATAACGATGAGATTTGCAAGACATGTCAAAACGGAAAACATCAAGTTCAGGACACAAAATGTAATCATAAAAATCCAATGATGAGTCAGGAGCTTCATATTTTCTTCCAACCTCTGTTTGCAGAAAAGGGACCCCATTGCGAATTTACTCTTCAAATTAGTCGCCGCGAGAATCAATACAAACAGGAACAGTTTCATTTGCCGATTTTCAGAAAGACATGCAAAGTGGAAATATGATACCGCTGTGAGAGTCACTCGTATTTGTATTTAAACAAATAGCGATCGCAGACCTATCTGCTTAGCTGTGACTGAAGCGGCGAACATTGTTAACGCATGTAAACGTTCTGGAGTGGTTCATGGCTTTAAAAAAGATTAAATAGTTAAATCATATTTACTAATTATTCGCAGGTGGTAATCAGCATTGTCAGAAATCTCCATAACAAATTCGATGTCGATGGGATCATTCAAAAATACTCGCCGAGATCAAAATTTGTCACAGCAAAATCATACAAAGAAGGGGATAGGCAGGAAAAGTTCATCTTCTCTCATTTCATTTATTGCTCGCTGTCTATTCGGAAAGTTTAAAAGTGTGACATTATGATAATCACCTTACGAAGGGTGATCATAACATTTCATGACGTAATCGTCGACCAATCACAGCGCTCTCTTCGTCACTTCTGTAGCTATCTAAGCAATCATACTGAGATATTTCAAGACCTATTTTTATATCATACATCTAAGAAATTGTTGATGCACCTGCTTCTTTGGGCGCCAACTTGTCACTTATTTCGAATACCAATCTTATTAGCATAAGTATGAGACAGTCCACATGTTATTAACGATGAGTGTATTTCAATAATAGTTCTTTGTTGTCAATTTGAAACGAAATAGAAAGTAAACATATTTTTAAAGGGTTCCATAAAATTATCATCTCACGAGGTTGTGCCTCGTGAGTCTACGACATTTTGACCACCACTGCGATGTGACTTTACTGAGTCCGCATGGCCTGTTTGTATCATCTTCACCAGTATTGAACGGTCACTTTGGCGGAAGCACTCATATGACATTACGAATAATTTCTCAAATAATTTATATTCCGTGTTTATCTCCTGAAATCAGTTTATATACTTCCTTTGAGTTCAAATGTCCTTTGGCCTATTAGGATTAATATCACGCGCGAACCCCACGCAGGACCAACTGTTAGATAATGGTAGACGCATATAAGCGTGTACAGCAATTGTGCTTCATTACTCTGCTTTAAGGCTAAGCCACCATGTTATTACTTCTGACAACTCTATTTTAAATCCGACAGTAGGCAACACCTACTACAAAAAGCGACAGCTCCGTCATAAATACACCAACCTCAAATAAACGACAGAGCGATAACTACTTGTTCAAAGTCTTTTCTCAATTTCCTGGTGCTGAAGGTGTGAGTGGGCTGCAAGACACCTATCCGATACAATTGCCGCCATTGAAAATCAAGATACGGCTACTGAGAAATACAACAAGACCTGAAATAAATACCTCTGCTGTTAATATTCTAGATGAGGCATGGTCATCGAGAAGCGATGCAATTCAAGGAAATCACATTATTTATATGGTGTTGAGTCTGCGACGTCAACTGTCCTTTTTTTCGCGAAGTACAAAGTTTGATAATTAGTACGAATCGCTTTCTGGGGTCTTTGTTTGATTGTTTAGATGATATATTCCTTGCTTTGTAAGTTTAACACGTTACTGTAACAATTTGTGTGTTGTTTGTGTCTATTAAGGTGTGAGCCTGAATAGATTGAATTAAAATTTGTAATGTTGTTATCCTCCTTGTTAAGCCTAGGTGCTTTTGGGGAAAACAATATACACTTAATGTATGGTCCCGCGGGAAACAGTTAGTTTTGTTCTCCCGAGAGTCCTGGTGATCAAGACTCGAAAGAAGAAAAAACAAACTAATTTCCCGAGGGACCATAAATTGAGTGCCTTGTTATCTATTTAAACTTCCCCTTAAACAATCATATGGGAAAAACGGCGCGCGAATATGATCAGGGGCACGTGACCAAGAATCAACCAATCACAGTACTCGTTTTTTTGAGTGAAAACTGGGTAATAACAATGAAAAATATGTTTAAACAAAAAAATAAAGTCAGCGTGCATGAGTATCAAGTGGATGATTGCTTTCTTGGCATCCTTATTCAGTATCCATACATGATTAAAACTTCCACATCAGCTGGATAACTAAACCCGCAGCAAAATAAGAGCATGCAAGATTGTTTAACCTCTTCATTAAGGGGCTGGGATCAAATTTCCCTTCCAAAAGCAAGAATAACAAATACTTTCCTAGAGACGATCTCGGGAGAAAATGTTTGGTTTGAAATGCAAAGAAGCCACTTTGAAATTTCCTTACCAAGTCTTGAATATTCCTTTAATTTCTAATAACAAAGGCAAGACCACTAAGGAACCTATATAAACGGCAAAGCGACAAAAGCTTGTTCTGGTGTCACAATCTCCTGGTACAGAAGATTTTGATAAACAAACAGCGCAACTGCCGCCATTGAACAAGGCGTGGTCACGAGACCTGAGATAAAGTCACAGTGAGGGGAGATAACATTTAGATGATAATCTTCATCGGCCCATCTCATATCGGCTGTGCGTGCAACTCAACACGCTGCAAAATCAGAGAATGCAAGACTCTTAAACTTCTCTGCGGTCGTTGACATCGCAGAGTAAGGGTAAGGACGACAAATAATAGACAGCCACAAGAGAAAACTTTAGATTAGAACGCGTAAAACCAGCTTGAAGGTACATTAATGAATGACAATTTTTACACACTCCTCTGGGTGGTCACACCATCGTTTTGACAGTAAGCCTAAAGTTAGTTAGAGTTAAATAAAGATCCCAAATTTTCATGCTGATAGATTTTCAATGGCCTTACCTTAATGATCGATCCAAGATTATTCCAGTATCAGTGAAAGAGTTAAATGAATGGTCAGACGAATATTGATCAGTTTTGTGGATATTCCATCAAGTATTCTTCGTGTATCAAATCATCACTCTTAAGCTTCCAATCAAAAAGCGCAAAAGAATCTTCACGTAGCAGGTGAAAATTAACGTATAATTACTGTCAAGTCAAGCACATAACTGATAGATGTTCTAATTGCTGGCGACAGCTAGTGACAGGCAAAAGAAGTTCGAGAGTGTTCCAGTCTTAAATTCTAAACACTTCGAGGCAGCTAACTTTGGTTATCAATCAAGTTATTGAAGCTTTGGCCATGGGCAACTGAGCGCTCTGGAAAATTTAACAGCCCTCTAACAAAGTGGATTGCAATAAGACTGTAATTAACATATATTTTCAAAACACAATTCAGCTGAGTAGTGTACAATGATTGTGATAATAAAGAATTTGTCGCGCCATATTTCATGGGTTTAGTGCTGCTTTACGATAATAGGAAAATAGCATGGAACAAAATTTCAAAAATTCCAACTCTTAGCTCTACGATGAAAAATGAGTTGTTAAAAAGACGTTTCACTATTAAGCAAACTTTTCTTTAACTTTAAAATTTTGTTGAGATTGAGGATATTTTAGTATTCCCCGAAAGCATGTTTCACATACAAGTAATTACATTTCGCCTTTGAACTCTCCGAAATTGGTAGCGCGAACAATTTATTGAACTTTAACTTGCAGATTGAGGGTCTCAGTGGGGTGATGGCTTTTACGGCTAACGGTTAAATTTTGGCTATTTTATTGCTAACGATTGATTTCATTTTATTTTTGTCACCAAAGTTATTTTTAATGGTTAACTTTTTTTACGACTATTGGCTGAACTTGTCGATTTTAACGCCTAACGGCTAAATTTTTTGGTCCTTTAACGGTTGTCGATTAACCTCACTGAGACTCTCTACACTGTAAGAAGAGTCTTGAAATTTCTACGAACCTTTGTCGAAATTTGAGAAATAAAAAATTATTTAGACCTCGTTCTCAGTGCGTAGCTGTAGATATTCTAAATGATTTGTAGACGATGGCGCGAAGAAAAAATATGATTGCAGCGTTGGTGTTTCGACCGTGATGAAACTAGATCTTTTTAAACATGTCTCTTACTTAAGTTAACACGGCTTAAAATCCGCAAATTTCTAAGACGTCAGCTATATATTTGTGTCTAAATGCGAAACAAATTAACAAGATTTAGATGAATAGAATGTAAAATTAATTGGAAGGCGAGTGATTGCATATTTCTTTATTCTGCCTCTTTTTGCCAAAGTTCGCTTTTGCAAACTTTTTCAAAAGCAGCTTTCAAAATGATTCGAGGAGTATTTTCCACAAATTTGTAAAAAAAGAAAGAAAACAGCAACGACAGATCCAAACTAAATGAAAAAAGGGAGAAAAAGTAGAACAACATGAGGAAAGATGGAGGAAGAACCACAGGTTTATACATACAATTTCTAGTGCCATGAAGTGGATCTTGTTGTCCGTGGCGTTTTATGAATTCGAGAGAGGATGTTTACTTGCTTAAATCCGTAAAAATGATTTGTACCCAATTCGCGTGCGACACGGGCCGGAGGAAAACCACGGTAATACTTACCAACCCTGATACGATAGAAATTTATCGAAGAAATCATATTGCTGTTCGGAAGGTTGCCTCAAATGAAACGGATCCATCTGAAAAGTTCTCTTTACTAATATGTTTTGAGATTCTTCTTCATATCCTCTCTATGTTATTTCGTTTAACGAATTTGTTCTATATTTTTTAGAGGATGTAAATGTATTTTGCAGCCATATCACGAAACGAATAAAACCTTAAAATAATTGTTTTTATGTGGAAGAAATAATCAAAATGGAACAAAGATGGCTGGGATGAAGAATGTTGACACGAATTATAAATGGCTACAAAATATTAGTTTGTCACGATAGAGAAGCATAAGAGAGGCAGTATTAAACCAGGCAGGGAGAAGTTTGGCTATGTGCGGTAAAAATTGACTCGAATTTGTGATGACTACAAAATCAGTATCAGATCAGTTCGTTAGCTTAATATATGACACAAAGGAAACATTGCTAAATCATTAGGGAAAAATATTGGCTACGGATGGTGGAGATTAACACCGATCGTAAAAAACTGGCTAAAAAATATAAGTTGAGTGAGAAAATAATACAAGAGAGGCAACGAGAAGGAATACAGATGGCTAGGGGACGACAAAACTAACATAGATTGTAAATGACTACAAAATATTGGTTTAGTAAGATATTATGAAACAAAGGAAACAAGATTAAACAAAGGAGAAAAAAATGGCTCCGGTTGGTGAAGACTGACAAGGAACTAAGCTATAATAAAGCAGGGACAAGCATGGCCGATGAAAGTAAAGTACTCTTATGTAGATTAAAAGTGGCTTTATTACAATTCAAAATAACAACGCGAACTGGCTGCGAATAACATACCGCACGATGTAGTTGTATACATAGAAATTACCTGTTTCTTGCGTGTTGCACAAAACATTATTCTCTCACTTCCACACGTTCTCATTAGCAACAATGCATCATGCAATCTCTTTTTCAGATTTCACACGTTCTCATTAGCACTTTTTACGCTACAGATATAGGGAACATTGACACCTATTTTAATTGAAGGAATCGAAAAGAACTTGACTTCAACTAACACTTAAAGCTGAACGATAACTCTCCAGCGGTACAGATAGTGAAGTGGCTCCTTTAACAGCAAGTTTTTAAAGGCTGATTTTCCCAACCGCTAGTCCTACATATTTTCCTTGGTTGCTCGATCATCGTACAACAATTAAAAACATTCTCCATTTAAAAGTGCCGATGACACGAAATATTTTTTACGCAAATATTTATCTTATCATATGTACATACTAATTCCTATAGAAGAAAAAATTCAAAAAACTTAAAACTCGGTTTTTTCGGGCCCTAAAGTGCTGTCATTTTGTCTTAAATGTGTCCCGTGGACTGGTAACGATTTAGCGCGATGACGTAGAAAACTGTGAAAACTCTCACATCTCTGGTAATTTTGTATCAGTCAGCGTTGAAATACTCTTGAAACAATGTCCGATAGCGATGTATACCTACCTTCAGCAAGCTCTACCGAGAGTTGTGATACATCGTACTCAAGTTGAAGGAGAAGGAGAACCGCGTGCATCAAACGAAGACTTCAAAGACGGTTTCTCGCCTGAGGTGTTCAGGTCAAGATTAGAGCAAAAAATTCCCGTTATTGAATATCTATTTTGTTGCGTTTGAGTTTTGTTTTCTATGGCGAAATCTGTGTTAAGAATGGGTAGCTGTGTTCGTTTCTGTTGTCATAACATTTATTCCTTCACAGTAAGTGCGGCGAAGGTTCATCTCGGTGAGTGCTCGAGAGTTTCATTGCTGTCAAGAAATTCCCTTAGCAAACCAAGAGCTAACCTTTGACGTAAGAATTAGCTGTATCCCGAGGCACGATGATTTTTCACCGAGAAGTAACCGGGCAGTGTCACTGTAAGTTGCTCCTTCCCTTAGAGATTGCAAAGGCAGAGGCTATCGTCTAGCTGGCCAAACTAAACGGAAAACGAGCGAATTTATAGTCATCTGGCTTAATTTAATCTCAAATAGGGATTTTAATAGAGAAAACCTTCTTTAGCTTGAGTGCACAACTGCCATAAGACCCATTCCGCTTGAAAGAAACCATTGACATTAGTATTGTAAATGATTATTTCCTATGCATCGACTTTCATACGGCACTTAGATTCGCTACCATCTTATTCAGTAAAATTTGTGTTTCTCTATTCAGTGTTTCAGTGCTGTTATCACAATGAAATTGTAACTGTAGCTACTTTTAGCTCGTGGGGTGGATTTTCGGAAACCTAGGTTTGGAGAATACACGGCCCCTTCGACCTTGTGTTTATGCTAGTATCCGCCAGAGATTTCGCACTGTTCAGGTAACAGGATATCGCTCAGCTCAAGAAAGAGCTGAAAATTTATTAAAATTGATGTGTTTCTGTAATTAAAATATGATGGAAACTACAATTGGTAGGTTTTCATACAATAAGAAAAGTGCAAATGTGAAAAGATAAGGAGTATAAGTACAACTCAAGCGCGTGAAATAAACAACATTAAGATGTTCTCCATTCTTCGCTCGCGAAATGTCAGTTGAAAAGAATGTTGAACGATCGTGTACGGTGTGGGAACAGGCCCCATAGTCAGCATTCTTTTTAGCTGGATTCTTTGGTTATCTTCCCCTGATTTGACTATTGGTATGTGTTCGTCGACATTGCAGAGTAAAAGTTTCCTCGATGTCGACGATCGAGACGTGTCCATTTTCGCCGTACAATTACATCCTTTGGAACGTAGGGTACAGAAATACCCGGTTTATGTATATTATTCTTGTAGCTAACATCATTTGGCGTTCCGGTCAGGCAAACGTTCGTCCTTTCTTCTAGATTTCTCCTTTCTCCACCATAGTGCCGACGTGTCTTCTACGTCACAGCGTGTTTTCTACGTCACAGCCATGTAACATGATCGTTTCGGCCGCGCGCTTGATAAGGGCTTAAAATTTATTAAAATTGATGTGTTTCTGTAATGTGTTTCTGTAATGCCACTTTTTGGCCATCAAATCGTACTTTCAATGCACAAAAAAATGGTCAAGAAGAACTTGCTAGGCGCAAAGGTCGATTATTTCTAATTTTAAATAGGCTATCAACTAGGAAATAGAAAAAAAAAATTTCGTGTTATGAGCACTTTAGATCTTTTCAATGGTGTATAAAATCATGAAAAATTTTTGTATTCTATATCACATTTAGGAGCTGGAGTGTAAAACTACACCTCGTCACGAATTTCTGACGGATAATATCGATCTTACAGTGTTTTTCATGATCCCACGAATCTCTTGATATCGCCAATAATAGATCAAGGGATTAATAGAAGAATTGAGAAATACTAAGAAGCCTGATGCGTGGAACGCAATCAAAAATTGCATTCGGGATTCTTCAGCTAAAATCAAGATACCACAACACAAGTCTGGGAGATAACAAGCTAACAGAACCACAAAGACACAAAAGGTATTGAGGCTTGATCGTTTTTCTCGAGCAAACTCGATTGCCTCTTGATGTGAGATCTGACTTTGTATTTGATTTTGATGATAATGCACAACCTTGTAGATCCGACAATAAGCGAATGCTGTCACAAGAAGCATCGATACTTCCATGAACACTCCCACGATGTCATTGTAGTTGGGAAGAAAAATGTAAATGCCGGCAATAATCCCACTGGCAATCCATGATAATTTCACAACAATGATAGTTCTTCTTGGCGTCACTAGCTCTCGGTATCGTAGATGAAGTGACACCGCAAGAAGCCTGTCGATTGCAATGGCAGCAACCGATAGAACAGATGCAGTCACCAACCCATACAAAGAGAGCTGAGATATCGTCACAATAGAGGGACAAAATAAGTCCAAGTTGAAATTTCCATCAGCAGACATTTTCAACATTAAAGCCATAACAACACCAAACATTAGCTGAGCAAATAATCCAACAGTGAGATCAGAAACAGCAAGGCTCAAGAAAAGTGGTCGTAAAGTAGCGGGTATCGTCTTTGCTTTCATCAGGGCCCGTATGACGAGGACATTGCCCAGAACTGCGACCACAGCCCATAACAAGTTTAAAACACAAACCACAAGCACGAAACGCCAACCAAAATGAAGAACTTTGACGTAACCCTCCAGTTTTTCATTACACAATTGAACCACCATGTCTGTAAATTCCATTTGACGCCACTGGTACCGTAATATCAGTTACCAAGTATTTATAGTCTCTCAATTTGGACCTATAACGAGGAGTTTCATTAAAAAAAAAAAAAACATAACCGTAGTAATTTTCTCTTTCGCAAGAGATTTAATTGCCTAATAATTCTGGGCTCTTTAATGTGAAGGGCAAACTTCATTTAAATACGACGTCGTGTTTTTGCACCTGCGTCCGATAATGTGAAAAAGGCACGTAGTGCGCAAATGTCACGAAAGACGGAAAAGTCGTGATACACTTAATTTTCACTCTTATTTTTTGATTTTTTATCCCTAAAACAGCTTTTTTCGCAGGTAATGAAACCAGAAAAATATTAACACAGATCAATTGAAAGAATTCCCTCCTTAACGGCAACGTGAGTGAGCAACATAAACACACTAACCGTGTGTAAATACAATTATGACATTAGCATAAATGACGAGAGCATTTTCCGTTTCCCGGAGTTTTTGCGTTTGAAACGCAATGAGAATTCTTATGCGGGGTTTTATTGAGCATGTTATCTTTTCTCGAGCTCACGTATTAAGCAGTTATCCGCACATACATCTTCAACAGCGCACCATCACACCGGATAATCGCAACTTATATCTAAAAGACACTTGTATTGCGGAAAATTAACCACGTCTGATGCATAATGGGGTCAACTGCACTGGTTAACTCCCAATCCCTACAAAAAGTCCAAAGGTTAGGACACCAGTAGGCCAATATTTATATCACAATTTTCTTTCAATATCAGAAAAACCTACAGGCCTCAGAGTTTGACCACCTATCAGATAAAGAATAAAAAAAATAGATGCTCTCGGTACCAATTGAGCAACAGAGAAGTTGCCTCTCACACAAGGCTCATATCTGTCAAGTGTCATGTTGGATTTCTGTTGGAGACGAGCTATAGTACCTATCTGCCTTTAGTGATCTATAACCACCTATAAATCATATTTTAACTCGATTTGTCCCGAGGATCAAGGAATTTTGACCCAATTCCAAATCAAAGCTGTTGAGTTTTTAAGTCCTCCGAAAATTTTGTGACCTAAAGGTATCCTGGTTTTCTTCTTCAGCAGTGACAAAGAATATTTTAGCATGGCCATAAGACTGTGACAGTCTGATGTCAGCAGGATCCCGGTTACGAACTGTGGCCCTCTTTAGCTGTTTATCGCTATTGATCTGTATCCTTTAAAACCTAATTTTCCTTCAAGCTTTTTTCCTTTGTATTTAGAATTTTGTTATTTAAATAAAGCAGTTTGTAGACTATTGTTTTTTGGACCGTTTTTCATCGTTTTTTAACGATGAAAAAGGAAAGATTTTTCGCGTTGATATTGAATTATAGCATGCAAATGAATTAAAGTGCACCGTAAAAGCCAAGACGTAGCATTTGGTCCTTCCGGCCACTAGTGTGCGTAGTTATCGTTGTGAAATAATTCATATACGTCTTTCCTGTCTTGTTTACAATTTAATATTTTCCTTTCTCCCTCTCACGTCCCCATGAAGCATCTAAACATTTATTAGGGTTCTGTAGTAGGACCCTTTTATTCTAGTACACCAATTTTCAAGTACAATTTTCTGTCTTTTTATAAAATGTTCATTGTACAGCTGCCACATGTTTAACTGGGAGTGCTGTCTTTAAAAAATCGCCATTTTCTAGTTATGTAAATCAATAAATATATGCGTCGATTCTACACAATTAATCCGTCTCAAGGTATTGAAGACGTGCTCTGTTTATGCGAAGTTATTTACATATTTAAAGACCTCTTCGGCAGAAAACCTGGCTTTGTCAAGAGTTGTTCATTCATTTCACTTTAAAAGGCTCATTTAATGAAAATTCATGGTCTAAGTCAAATTCTCTTGAGCCGGAAGAAACACTGCCGCCGACGATATCTATGTTTTTGACCGTAACATGATTGGTCATGAAATGGCAAAGAAAATAAAATGTCAAAAGGTTAGCATGCAAATCCACTTTCCCACGACCCAGCTGCAGTTTTCACGTTTTTGTGAATACAGATTTATTAAGGTACAATGCACCCTTAAGTGTTCACTTCTCCTTTAACTTTCAACGCGTCTAAGGATTCGTTTTTGACATCAATACCAATCGCTTGTTTCATTTTACGCTGTCATTTATAAGACTAAATTAAATCGCAAGTAAATATGTTCTGCCGAAAGTCTCACATTAAAACCAAACTATAACTGTGATGGCAACAGTAAAACGTAAGGATTCATTCCGCATGTTTTTTTCTGGTATTGCGTCTTGTATTTAGGAAGCTTTCATTACAAAGACAATTCAGTTGTCAAAACTAAATCAGTGGCTGTGTTCACCTGTTCTATCGATTGGTTAATCCTCAGTGCCATTTTACATTTGTGCCATTTATGCCAACGAGCAAATTAATCATGAAAGCAAAGCACTTGTTCGGAGAATTGTTCTTGTTTCTGGAACTTGAAACTCCACATGGCATTGCAGCTATTTCATCCAACAATAATTATTTGTCAGGTATTCTGTAGCTAACTTCTTATCTTATCATCTTAATGGTGCACGAGATGTACCTAATAATGTTTTCACCTGAGCAATTGATTATACAGCTCCCAATTCGTTAGAAAAGAATGAGAAGATAAAGGTGGTAATTTGAGCTTTTTTCTTTGTTTGGTGAGAGATGTTTCGAGATAAATGTTTTCCTTCAATCTCTCTTATTCAGAAAACTAATATAATCACTAACTAATCATTTTCCTTGCCAAATTATTATTTATAACAAGAAGCAGATATTGAAAATATTGACCTTTTCGAATCTTGCTGACGAATCTAGGCCATTTTTTGATCCTTTAAAAATGTTGATTATACATTCGTTATTTTTACTTTTCGTATCACCATAACAATACTCCAGTCCTAAATGCATACAACCATCCAAGTTCATAATTTTATTGCTACTCCTTCCGACCTTAAAAATTATGTCTTCTCATTTACACTTCACTTCTTTGAAACCAGCTTGTTCTCGGTTCTTGAATTGTCAATTTCGTCAAATCGATTGTTCCATTTCTATTTCTTCTGCATGCCTTAGTGAAAATCTTTTTCACAGTTTCCCGAATCTCGCGATATCGCCAGCAATAGACCACAACATTCACTGAAGAGTTGAGATAGATCAGCAAAATTGTGACATAAAAAGCTGTTATAAGTGATATACTGAATTCGGAGGTCACTAACAATATCCCGCAAAATATATTAGGTAAATAACATATGACAAAAACAGCATAAACATAAAATGCATTATACGCCGACCTTTTAACCCGTCCTACTCTCATTTTTTCGAGATCTGTCGTAATTTGACATTGTGCTAGTATTTGATTTTGATGATACCGGGCAACTTTGAAGATCTGAAAGTAGGCAACACTTGTCACAAGGAGCCCTAAAACCTCCAGTACCACAGCTACGATGTCATTGTAGTTTGGTAGCAAGATGTAAACCAATGCCATTAACCCGCTGGTCGACCATAGCATAAACAAAACGATGAGAACACGCTTCATTGTCACAAATTCACGATAACGGAGGTGCAGTGAAACAGCGAGGAGTCTGTCAACGGCAATGGTGACAATGGAGCAGAAAGATGCCACTGCGAAGAAGTACGCTGCCATTAGGTACACTGTTACGAAAACGGGACATAGAAAGTCGAGGTCGTCATTTCGCTCTGATGTTTTGTATAATATAACCGCGATAATAGTTCCGTGCATGGGTTGCACCAGTAATCCAACAGATAGATCAGAAAAAGCTAAGCTCAAAAACATTGCCTTCAGTGTCGCTGGCATTGACGCCTTCAATAAAGCACGTATAACAATGAGATTTCCAAGAATTGCAACGATACAAAATATAAAGTTGAGCACGCAGAGAGACAATAAAAAGTGATTTTGGTGTTCCGCCAATCGGACAAGTTCTTTAAGGCGTGTGACACAAATATTAATATACATTTCTCGTGAAGTATCGGACTAAGCAGTAATCCAGAAATGATGTGATCCTCGCAGTTCAAGGGAGACTTGATATTGTCGCTTATTTGCTGTTCTCCGCGGTTCGCATATTCGCCACATAAATTATTCATTGGACTTAAAGTTATGTTTATTTAAGAGGATTAAATGTTTAAGTAGTTGAAAAAAGGCTGGCATCGTGTCCTCATGGAGAATTATTTTACCTCTCTTCGGCGACTTTAATATTGTTTGGTTTGCCAAATTTTCACAGGAATGCGGTGTCCTTTTCAGTGGAGGCAGTTTGTCGAGCTGATGAAGGTAATCCAAAAAATATTTATGCTGAATAATTGAAGTAAACACGACTATTCAAAGACGGCTCTGAGTTTGTGATCTGTTGTTCCCTCGCATCTACTGCGCAAGAGTGGAGCTTCGTATTCAAAATTGTGCCTCAAACGTTCTTTTAGCACCGACGCCTCAAGCAGAAAAAAAAAAGCGTTAAGAACAAATTACAGTTCGTCTGTGTATACAACTTGTATAAACGACAACGGTTCATTTAATTAAAAACGAATAGCTATCGCCTAAGAATTATTGCTAGATCTTGGTTCAATATTGAATCAGGGGATTTTACAGGACATTTCTCTGTAAATCTATACAATTGCAAAAACCTTTATTTTAACATACAGATGTGTGCGTAGCAAAACAAAACCACAAATATGGATGAAAACCAGGCAGGTGACTCAGCTTATTCAAAAAGAAAAAAAAAACATTAATAAGCATGGTTTACTAAAATTCACAAGGACACAAGAAACAATTTTCGGCCCTTTTGGCTTACATTATTATAATTCCAAAAATTGTAATCGTATTGTAACAACCTTCCGCTTTAGTTTTAGAGTTTTAGAGTTTTAGAGATCAGTGGTAGATATGAGAACACCGATTTTATGTCGGCTTTGCAGTTTGTTTTAAGGAAAAATGAAAACTTTTAAATTTATTCATTAAATCAAAAAAATCGAATGTTCATCTACTCCACAAGAAAATCAGCATTGACAGATAGTGTTTGCAGTGATTGACACTGGCATACTCTGAGAAAAAAAACTCTGAGTGCCCCTGATAGGAGTCGAACTTACCACCTTCTGAATTGTATTTCAGCATCTATAATATGTAATTGCTTTTAATGCACTCTATTACTAAGAATGATGTTCGATGCTGGAGAAATTAAGTCCGGTGATTTATTTACTTTTTCATGATACCCACTTTGCATTTGGAGAAACCATAATTGTGCACGCACTTAAGATAAGTAATAAAGATTGTATAATTTGACGCGAACGGCCGTCGCATAAAGATTCCCTTTTGGAAACGAAACAAGATTATTATTTTGGCCTCTTTCCCCTCGCAGGAAATTTTACAATGGTATACTCATCCAAATTAATGTGTGAAAGCTAGCCAGAGGAAAGCAAGGTAAATAGTATTAACTACGCTGTTACTCTGGGCAGAAAATCGTCCCAATTATGCGAATTACTTCCACGTTTTCCTTTAAAATTTCAAAATTTATTCGAAAATAAAAGTGTTTTTCCTAAACATGTCGTTGAAATTGTGCAAACTTAAATTGGTAGAGGCGAAATGGCTTCCGACCGCAAAACATATGTCGCGCGATTTCTTATGAAGTTTCAGAATTCTTCTCTTCGAAACAAAATTTCTTAAAAAATTTTCTTCAGAAGTGAACACTTTGGAAAGGATCGACTACGTACAGGCTCATTTGATAATGAAAAGTATAACTTAACTTATTTCTTTAGATTCCCACTCATGATGCGCGGACAATCATCATATGGTCCTTTCAGCCAGAAAAACACCCTTGATTGCAAGTGTGAATGTAACAATGCTTGGTAATTGTACATTCAGAGTGATATCTAAGGCTTAAACTGCGTCATTTCCATACACCTTCCTCCCACAAAAACTAAAGAGGAAGTCCAAAAAATAAGTATGGAATATACTGACCTTCTACTTTTGGCAGTCTTTTTACAGCCATCCAGTAGTATCACAGAGACAATAAAGAAAGAAACTATTTTCAAAGGGGAGTGAAAATTTTTCGGCGAAACATTTACTCATATTGAGATGGCTTTAATTAATCTCTCTTAACAAGTCAAGAAACGAAGAGTTACTTGGATGTAAAAAAAAAATTAGTATTGATCGAACTATGCGCGTGACTCATACGTGTTGATTAATTTTTGCACAATCTTTTTTCAGTTGGCAACCTTGAGGTATGATTCAAGTCGAATTTTTACCCAGAACTGAAAAAGGCCTGTTAAGGCCTTTTTATTAAATGCGTCAAAAACACTAGGTAAATAAGGAGTGGTGACAGATAATTAACACATTCTATTCGATCAATCGAAAGAAACTGTAATGACGTAAAATGTGTAGTAGTAATAGATTAAAAGTAACAATTAAGCTTTTAGCTTTATAATATCGTCGCGTTCAGGGACCCTTCGCAGCTCCAGATGGACGCTACTTTCTGTAGTGAGAAATTAGGGCAGCTGACTGAAGTCGTCAAGTCACAACCAGCCTTCTCCCTATGTGTGATTGTACTAGACCTACTCATCTCCCCTTTAACAATACTCGGAAACGCTCTCATCCTATGCGTGTTATGGAAAACCTCATCAATACCTGATAATATGAAGAGATTGTTTTTAAGTCTTACCTTATCCGATTTTGCCGTGGGAGTTCTTATTCAACCAGCTTCTGCTGTTATTATCACTGCGGCGCTGAGCAAGGTGAAAAATGAAAGCAATAACTTGGACATTTTCTGTCCTCATCTTTTGACGGCAAAGATGTACGCTTTATATTTCCTGGTGGCGGCATCGTTTTTCACGACTGCCGCCATCGCGTTGGACAGATTATTCTCCGTTTTCTTGCATTTAAGATATAACCAACTCGTCACAGAGAAACGCGTACGAGTTGGCGTGGTACTAATATGGTTTACGAGTGGACTTGCAACTTTAGCATATATGATACTTCCCAAAAATAACGAGATTGTGGCGGTGGCCTGCCAAACTACAGGAATTTTTGTGATGGCCATAGCGTACATCCACCTCTTCAAAATCGTTCAATATCATAAAAATCAGATACGGTGTCAAACGCAAGCTGGAAATTGTGAAACACTAAATGCGGCAAGGGAGAAAAAGTCCACCTTAAATGCTTTTTATGTCTTTTTGTTATTTCTTTTATGCTATCTCCCGCATTTGATCAGTCGTGTTATTCTGGCAATTTTTAAGGTACAATCGTCAACAGTAACAGCCTACTACGCCACAGGCACTTTGGTTATCTTTAATTCGTCTTTGAATCCAGTTATTTACTATTGGCGATATCGCGAAATTCGCAGTCTTGTGAAACTTACTGTAAAACACTTTTTTTGCATGAATGATCGTGCATGAACTGAGCCGACCAAGGATCCAGTGAAGCTTTCATGAAAGCCTCAGTGCCTTTTTGATCGATCACTGAAGATGAACAACTATACAAAAGGACTGACATCGGATAATAACTCCTAAAATCTAAGAAATATCAGTTATTGATGCGATATCTCCTGTTACAAAAACTAATCTATAGTCTTCCTCACGACGGAAATAGCAAAACATGCAAATATACCCTTCTTTTTTCGCATTCGCATCTTTTCGAAAACTTTAGCTGCCATAATGCTCTCATGTTTTTTTTTTTTTTATCAACTTTATTCCTATTTTTTCTTCGCCTTTGTATCATTAATAGAGAACATACAGTTAGAGAAAAAAGTTTACGGTTTCTAGTTTCTCTACTTGTCCAGAATTACATCATGTGGTGTCACCCCTTTGAATTGGCAATCAAACCGAATATAAGGAAATTAAAGATAAACTATCGGACAAAACTGTCAGTTTTCGTGCTACTGTTTTATTCTATGTGCAGATCAATGTGCTCCATTGCAACCATGACCCGATTGACGAGAGTGCTATTTTTTGATCACTGTTGACATGAGAATGCAGGTGGTCAAATCATCTTGAAGTCTAAAACAATGTTTACAGACGTTTGATATTATATAACAAAAAGCATGACCGACACTGTTAAAGGATCGGTCAGGTTTGGCTTGGGATAACAATAAAAAATCAGCCTGATAAAATTTCCGCACAGCCCTATACTGTTGTAAAACAAATCTGTTTTCCCAATGGCAATGTATTGTTTTTGTCATTGTTTTCTCTATCCAAGAACTAAATGCAAAATGTTGGATGGGGCTGTGTGAAACCAATCAGCCTCCACGGTGTGTTTACATTCTCACAGAAACGAAATTACATTTTACTTCTCTCAATAATAACGCATTTGATCGCTAGAGATTTTTCTTGGGGGAAATTTAATCAAACCGGCCCGATAAGGAAAACAAAGCCATGAATTTCTTTGACGATATGACATGGCCGCTTGTAACGAATTTCCTCTTTCAAAATTATCACCACATGAAGACAGATCTGCATTTACTCGATGACTGGTATTGTTCTTGTTGCTATATTCGTATAAATTATATTTTTTAAATTTCCTTTATAAGCATCGATTGTTCTAACACGTGCTAGTGAAGTTAGGAATAAATTGGACTATTGTGCGAAGAACAAATCATGCTTCCTGTTTGATATTGCCTTTCTTTGTATGCATGACACAAACCATGTCGTTAGCCAATGGATTATGTAAGCCGGATACAGCTTATAATAAACTCAACAATACCGAAATCACCTACACGCTAGTGTTCAGGTTTCATAACGCAGTAAAAATTGATAGGAAAAAAAACCACATGAAACAAAATTATTATTTGCCCGCGAGTTTGTTGGGCTAATCATTCTCTACTATTTTCTATTGAAAACGTGATGGCAACAGAAGCTGAGTGAAATACATTTAAAAGACTATTTCCGGAACGATCACTTTATTACTTTTTGTCATGGTATAGAAGCAAAAAAATTTAATCATTTTCAGCCTGAAAATGATTTGTCATCAGATAAGATTACTATAAAAATCACCCTTATATCCGCTGCACTCTTTCATATCTTCTACAGCCAACAAATTTCCTTAAGGGGTTGGAGGAAAATCTCGAAATATTGCAAAACTCTCAATAATTACGGAAAACGGCTTTTTGCACGAAGCGAAATGAATTCCTCTTCAATTTAATAAGTTACTTCTAAGGACTGTAAACGAGTTCGAATAACGAACGTTTGCAAATGAATAGCATGATAGTTAACAGTCTCTAATGATAATAATACGCCTGACAACAGATCTGTTGTAGCTGAGATAAAAAAAGCAACAAAAAGAGAAATAAAAGTGTGAGGTAGGAAATCTCGAAATTTATCTCTATGAGTATTTACAAATCACACAACTACGTTTTATAATTTAGCTTATGATACAATTAGAGATGTTTCAAATTTTGAGACAATTAAATCTTGTAACAATGCTGATCTTAGTAGTTTGCAAGAGACATGTCATTCATGAACATTGCTATGGCCAAATTCAACACAGAGTTCTCAGTAACCCAGTGTCGGAGCATCGGCGCTTGGACTCCAAAGATCTGTGGGTCGATTCCTTCTGGGGAAGTACATTTTTCCTTTTTTCCTACGCTCTTTGCGAAAAAAAAGAATGGAATATTCCAATGTTTTGAATCAAATATTGGATTCTTATTTCCTCCGTTCGCTTATAATTTTCGTCATCAGTTACGGTAAGTCGACGTTTCTCTTAAAGCTGTTTTTTCACAAATTGTCGAATCTCGCGATATCTCCAACAATACACGAATGGATTTAAAGACGAATTGAGGAAAACCATGAATCCAGAGATGTTATAAGCCACTTGAAAAGATGTCCTTGAGTGATCAACCATCAAAAGAATACTTGAAAATAGCAGTGGAAAGTAGCAGGCGATAAAAACTACGTATACGTATAAGGTATTTAGAGCTGATTTTTTCTCCCTGCATATTTGGACAGCATTTTGGTCTTGAACCTGACACTGAGATTTAATTTGATTCTGATGATATTGAACGGCTTTGTAAAGATAAAAATATGCAACGGTTGTGATAGTAAATCCAATGATTTGAGTTATAACAGCGATCAAGTCAGAAAGCTTGGATAGTGAAATAAACACTGATGCTCCAAAAGCTGCACCTAGCCAGAGAAGAAGCAAAAGAATTTGTATTCGCTTTGGCGTTACAAGTTCTTGATACCTCAAATGTAAATAAACAGCTAGAAGCCTGTCCAGCGCAATGGCGGCGATGGTCATGAAAGATGCTCCTGCCACTAAAAACGTAACAAATAGATGAATTGTCAGGAGAGAAGGACACAAGAATTGACTGTTTCTCTCACTCAACTGCAACGCAATAATTGTGCCGTACATCGGTTGTAAAAACAATCCTACTGCAAGGTCAGAGACAGCAAGACTCAGAATTAGTCTTTTAAAAGACGCGGGTAGCGATGAGACTTTCAGCATGGCTCGAATTACAAGGACATTTCCAACAATCGCCATCGGTGAAAAGGCGAAGTAAAATACACAAATAGACAACATAACTTTATGATGAAGGTCGACAGTGATGGCAACTTCGTTCAGTCGCCTCTTGCATTCTTCTTCAAACTTGCTCATGTTTCAATCTCCTCACCCAACACGTAGTTTTTTTTAAATTCATTACTCGTCAAGGGTGATATGCAGGATGTCTGAGTTGTTATCTTCTTGAGTAAATGCTACGCTAGCCGGCAACCAATCGCAAAGCAAAGTGAGTTTAGTTGTTTGAGAATCTCCACCTGTTTGGCTCAGGTAGATATATTACAGTTTAGTACAATGTAAATAAAATTAAACTTGCCATTTCCTTGAAGAAAAGTTTCTAAGTGACAAATGAACAATTAAAAATAAATATACATTAACCTTCGCCGATAAATGAGAAAAATGAAACATTTGGAGGAAAAGGTTGATAAATTACCTTATATTCCCGACATGGAGAAAAGGAATGTACCAGAAAGATCAAATATTATTAAAAATATTTTATTTTTCAAGATAAATGGTACGACTGAGCTAGAAAAACCAATTACTCGTTTGTTTGGATAAAAACAAAAGCGACCATCCTCAAGGGAACAGCAACAAACAAGGAAAACCACACGCGAAATAATTTAATTTATGTTTCAAAGGTCTCTTATATTTTCTACTGAAAGGCTTTAAAGCACGTCAAAGCTCTTAACCTCCATTGATTTACGCCAGCAACCTAGTAACCTAATAAACTAAAAGAAACAGCCTGTCATCGAGATATTTAGCGCCAGAGAGGCTTCAACATTTTGTTCTAAGGTAGAACTTTCGAGAGAAATAGCGGAAATGTCAAACAAAGCGGAATTATCGCGAGCTTATAATACATAACGGCGGAAACCAATTTATTTTTCACTACTCCAATGGGCAAGATGATAAATTGCGTTGCCTGCCAAGAAATCCAACCGAACAATTCATCAAATAAATAACAGGAAGGCTTTTAGGAATAGATTTTTATCAGTCACACGTAGGAAGGTCGGGAGTATATTTCTTAATTATGATAAAAACATTTATATAGCGCTAAAAACTGTGTACATATTCGAAAGCGGTTTACATTTCATTACATCTAATACTGGACGCTTTCCTAAAAAAGATGTGTTTCGAGTTGTTTCTCAAAAGTAGTTAAGCTGCTACAGGATCTTATTAGTAACGGAAACGACTTCCATAAGGCAGGTGCAGCATGAGCAAATGGGCGACCCAAAAGTGTGGAGCGATTGACCCGTGGAACGAAAAGAATAGGTTGTGTAGACGAGTGTAGAGTATAGTTAGAGGCAGGTGTAAGAGAAAAAAGATCTTTGATGTAGGTCAATGAGAGCCGGTGAGATGTGGTCACATTTCGTAATCTGGAAAATCACCCTAACTGCGGCGTTCTGAACCTTCTGTAAACGATTGATGTTTAGGTAGACTAAAAAAGAAGTGTTACTGTAATGAAGGATACAAAAGCATAACCTTAGACGGAAGGAAGGTTCTAAGACTGAATAATATGACATAGTCTTCGAAGGTTTTATGACCAATAGGGATACACTGTAAATAAAACAAGAAAGATGGTAAGCTTTAAGCTCGGTTAAGTAATAGAGAAAGAATTTCTTAAAATCTTCCAATTCACTTCTTAAAATCTTTCTCTATGGATACTGCTCTTTACGATCAGATAAAATGAGTCAAACCATTCCAGAGCAGCGCTGGTGACTCCAAAATCTTGTTGCCAAGTATTTGAAAGAAAAGATTGTTCAATGGTATCAAAAGCAGCGCTGAGGTCTCGAACCTTTAAGAGAACATTTTCTGTTGAGTGATACTTTCGAAAGCCGGACTGGAATTTAGGGTGAGGAGCATTTTTTCACAGTTATTGATGAATTGTTTATGAGCTGCCTTTTCCACTACCTTGAAAATGAATGGAAGATTGTTGACGGGAAGAAAGTTTCTGTAAACAAATGAAATTTTTGCTTTTGTAGTAGAGAGATGGCAATAACAGTTTTGAAGTTTTTAGGAACATGACCACTGAGGTGAGATAAATCAACATCTCAGAGATGGAGGCGGCGGAAAGCGGGGAAAAGCTCTCCAAGATTGCTTTAAGGGCAACGGGGAGCTGGTCATTAGGTTGCTTCGAAATAAACCAGTGAAGTGATGAATCGATGACTGTGAATATACAAAAATCATATAGGTGAAAGTGGAAACCCAGACGCCAAGATCACGTTCGTGATTTGTTTTAGCTCCATTCATATCGTAAGCAGTGTTCAGTGCCTTGGTTTTACGTGTGATGGACTGGTGGTGGCTTTTCGTCTTATTGAATTCTAAGCCCGATTCAGTGGACCAAGATCCTACATTACTCAAGTCCGTCTGTAGAGCAAGTTCGTCATCGCTGGATCTAATTTCTTTGTACAATTTGGTATCGTCTGCGAACATTGCGGTTTCGCTATCGTTATGGGTTCATCACTTCACGAGTTTATTTCGAACCAGCATGGATTCAAATCCCTTAGGAGGCTGAATTTTTTTTCCAGGCCTTATTTTCACTTTTAAAAGCTTTTTTTCATTTTATAGCTGAAGTAGTTTTCCATATTTTCGAAGATCGCTGTCATATTTCTTTGTTAAAGTTTCTTCGTCTACACAAGCCAAATCTCCTTTTCTATTCATATGTCACGCTTCGCCTCACAGTCGCTCAAGAATATTTGCATCAGTTTTAACAAGATGATCGTGTGTTTACTTGAATCTAACAAAAAAACCCCAATCAGTTTTTTTTTTTTTTGCCTCAGAGCAATAAATTCAGCACGCATTTCATGTTTTGTGTTTTTGACCGATAGAAATTAAAAATGCTACGCCATAAATTCAATGAGTTTACTTTTATCTCCGAAAAGCACAGGATTATTTTCGTCCGCAGAGGTATTACTGATCGATCTAGCCGCCAACATCTACATAAGATAATAAAAAAAAAAATCAGTGAGCTAATAAACTTAAACTGTTCCCCACGTTCTTTTCCACATCAGATCGTAAACAATCGAAGTGATTCACTGTGTTGGGTCAGTGCATGATCTCGATATCTTTTCTGTTCACTCCAAAGGTGGTATTTTAGCAACGATACTATGCATGAACTGTAAAAATCAGTTCTTAAGATAATAATACGCGAGTTTAAGATGGAAACTACATTTCTCAGTCAAGTGTCTCACAGTCACTTTTATTCCATCTCACCATGAATGTATTTTAAAGAACATGATATAAGAAGTATAGTTTACCAACGCACGGGCCTAAATAAATGAGTCTGGGTCCTCTGCCTATTCCAAAGGCTCCCCGAGGTTTTTCATGATGATCTCAGTTGTTGATAAACAGCGAGTGGTCTGTCCAGTGGCGACAATAGCCTTAAAAGATGCTCCTTCCACCGAAAACGCATCGAATAGTTGAATTGTCAGGACAGAAGGACGCAAGAACTGACTGTTGCTCCTACTCAAGTCCAATGCAATCATTGTGCCAGATCTGAGTTATAAAAACAATCCCGCTGCGAGGTCAGGGACAGCAAGACCCAGAAGACACTTATTAAAAGACGCGGGTATCGATGGGAAATACAATATGGCTCTAATTGTAAGGACATTCTAGCAATAATAACAAGGAGAGGTAAAATGCTCAAAGTGACAGCATAAATTGATTATGAAGGGAGACAGTTTTAGCAGCATCGTTCCGTCGCCTTTTGCAAACTTCTTCAAACACGCTTATTTTTCCACTACCATACATTACACGCAGTTTGTTACTTATTATTCTTCAAAGCAGGATGTTCATGTTACTCTAATTTAGAACAATCGCAAAGTAAATTCAATTAAGATTGGTAGAGAATCTCCAACCTTTTTAGTTTAGATCGATATATTACAAATGCAAAATTTAAAAAACATCTATATTTAGCGAGCGAGATTAGAAAAAATGTTGATAAAATCACCACATAAACCTTGGAGAAAAGGAGGGGGTGACCAAGATGACGAACACAGTCAGAAGTATTTTAACTAATTTGTCAAAAAAAATGGAAAGACATATCCCGGACAAAAAAACAATTCGTTTCGTTATATGAACGAAAACAAAAGCAGCCGACGTCAAGGGAACAGTAACAAACAAGGCAAACCACACGCGAAATATATCTAATTAATTTTACTGCGGTCTCTTCCGAAAGGCTTCATGCCCCGGAAAGCTCTTAAATTAAATTGATTCGCATTTGCAATCTGGAAAACTGAAATGAAAAGTTTGTTGTTGAAATTAGAGAGTTGACCCGCAGTGACAGAGAGGATAACAACATTTTGCTCTGTGAGGAGAAATTTCGAAGAAATAGAAAAAATGTAAAACAGAGCAAAGTTGTCCTTGCTTGTTGGGGGCCTATAATAAATAAAGGTGAAACTAATTTTATTTTACAGCTCGGATGGGTAAAGTAATAAGCTGTCTTGCCTGCCAAGTAATCGACCCAGTTGTTTCATCAAATCAACAGCAGAAAAGCTAGTGAATTTTTATTAGTATGTCTTATGCAAGAAGGCTGATAACACACGCCAAGAAATATACCTGCTTGTGAAAATGCAAAATTTACGAAACAGATTAAAAGAAAGTTTCGTCTCTTCTCTTACTTGATTTTTTTAAAAATATTGTCAGACTCATCAGATGACGTAAGTAATTCACTTGTTTTAAGCCTGAGCCTTGATAGGAAATGTCTATTTTCACTGAGCGGGAGTTGGCATATAAAGGAAAACCAATTTCCTTAGTAAATATGAATGTGCGATAGATGCCCTTTGATTGCTTTAGCAGTTTATCGGGTAATTTAATTAATACATACATTCTTTTAAAGCCAAAAATAAAAATTGATACTGATAATACCCCCGGTGTCTTCAAAAAAAGGTGAAATGAATGCACGGTCTCAAATTCTCCCGAAAACTTTGCTCTGATTCATTCGTATCACATTAGAATCCTGTTTTAAGCAAATAAATCTCTCACTGAAAGATTAAACAATTTTTCTAATCATTTAAGGATCGTTGCATTTTAGTTTTTAGGTCACGGGAAGTTTCAGGGTTTGCTTAAAATTTGGGCATTCAGACTTCTGAGAAATGTATAGAAATGTATGCTGAGGTCAAAAGCTTTCTTTAGTGTCGTTTGGATTAAAGGCTGAAAATTTTAATGAAGACCACTTATAATTTTTTCTTGAACAATGAAGCTCTATACACCTATTGGAAAACATTATAAATTACACCTTGAAATAAATATTGACAACATTTAGCTTCTAGTTAATTAATCTCGGAGACACCGACTCGATAACCG